AATTAAATTGCATTTGTTGCAAATAGTCATCGACAGAAGAAAAAAAAAAGAAAAAAATTAAGAACAAAAAGAACGGAAGTCGAGCGTGGCTGGAGCGTAACCATAGCAACGGGACAACAGTTTCGTTGATGTAGTTAAAAAATTCAACAAATTACATCTTTATTTGAGCGGAACACAAGCGGTTACTCACCGAGCTGACGAAGAACTCAGACTCCTGGTTCATTTTCACTGCGAAATGCCAAAAATGTCGTGAAATTCATGTCAAATAAAAGACTAAAGACACGCACAGAGAAGCTGGCTACGTGATGACGTGTGCGTGTGCGTGAAGGGGGCGTACAAGTCCCACGTGACTAACCGGCTCTGTGGGACTTGTAGTTTCCGCCGGAAACAGCTCAGCAAGATAAAAACAAAACAATGTTTATTGTGAATTGTACTACTGTAAAGCTTGTTGTTGTTATTCTTAATCATTATTTTTGAGTTTAATGTAATAGGCCAATAAAAATGAATAATGGTTAATTATCAGAAGTGTATTTATTTTATTTTATAGTTTCAGTCATCCGCCATGTTACACTGACTCTGCTGTTGATTTGTGTATTAGTTAAGCACTCTGTAACACGGATAGTGTATAAGTGATGCAGGCAGTGTGGATTCAAAATAAAAACGTACAGAGGGTGATAAACATATTCAGACATCGTTTTATTTTAACGTTATATGGGTTTGTTTGGTTTTTTCAAACATAAATAGTTTTCTGGGGACAAAGTAACGAGTGAGATAGGAACATTGGCTAGAGGTATGTGTAATGGACATAATTAAAATTCAATATAAAATGTATTGTTAATAATATTCCTATTATTTAAGCTTATGTTGTCTTTTGTTTCCCCTCTTTTTAACAAAACTAAATTAAGCATTCTCTCTCTTTCTTTCTTTTTTTTACACTGAAATAATGGCTACAAAAAAACAAAACAACAACAACAAAAACAAACAAACAAGTGAAGCAACCAGATTTGGGGTGGAAATATCCTGGTGCATAAAAGAATTCATGATGCCATTAATCTACACAAGAGGCACAAAACATCCCCAAAGCATCACTGACCCACCATTGTATTTTATACTGGGTATCAGGTGCTTTACCTTAAATGCAGTTCTTTACTCATCAAACATGCTGATGGTGTTCATGGCCAAAATATTTGGTCACATCTTACCAGAACAGATGGTGCTCATTAAAGTTGGTTTTGACGCTCCAAAGTTAAGAAACATCAGTTCTGCTTAGGATTCATACAAGAATTTTTGCTCACAATTAATGGTGACAGGAAAGGTGACATTACTGCAGACTTCAACGGTTGAGTTTTGGATGAGCCTGTGCCCATGATAGTCTCAGATTCTTGTTCTTGAATAACAGAAGTGGAACACAATGTGGTCTTCTGCTGGTGTAGCTCACCCACCTCAAGGTTTGACTTCTGAACATTGAGTGTTGGGTTGAAAATCCCAGGAGATCAGCAGTTTCTGACCCCCCCCATCCTCCCCCAAATTTCTGGTGTTTGTAGTGTCAATTAACTGAAGTGCTTGATCTGTATCTCCATGATTTTATGCAATGCTCTGCTGTGAGACGATTGGCTGATTGGAGAATTGCATGAATGAGCGAGTGTTCCTTATAAAGTGGCCCATGAGTGTATATATGCTACACATCACTGTCTCATAACTGCCTGTATGTTTGTGTGTGTGTGTTGGAGATTTTACTGCATAAATATGTGAACATGTGCACACTGTATGATAAACTTATCTATTTGTCTGTCTGTCTCTCTCTCTCTCTCTCACACACACACACTCACACACACACACGTCAAGAATCAACAGCATCAGAAAAGAACACACCATAAAGACAGTTTAAGACTTTATTAATATTGTTGTTGTTGTTGTTATTATTTTTACAGAAATGCTATTATATAAATTAGAATTACACTTACTGTGTGATTCTACACACATTTTTCTCATTTATCTGATTATGAATGTTATATTAGAATGTGAGAAATTTAAAAGTAATTTATTCTCAAAATGAAGCCACAGGCACAACATGGTTCAGTGGTATAAAAATTACTTTCATTTTTACCTTCCTGCAAGAATATCCTTTGTTAATTTGAAAATATATATATACATTCAAGATATATTTGACTTTATTTGAACATCCTAAAATGTCCCAAATGTTTATTTTTTATCATTCATATCTAAATGTTGCTGAATAGCATCCAATACCAAAAGAAGAAATCAACAATAAAAAAGAAACTATATAAAGCTTATATCATCCTGAAACATGCACTCTCTTTCTCTTTCTTTCTCTCTCTCTTTCTTTCTCTCTCTCTCTCACACACACACACACACAATTTAATAACATGTCACCCATAAAGAAGAATTAGAGAAGCTTAAAGCGTAATGGAAATTGATGCGATCATTAAATGATCCACAACATTAACATGAGTAATGTGCAACAGAAAAGTGACAAAAC